TGGTGAAGTGTCTGTTCATATCCTTTTAGAGGGCAGGGATCTTTATCAGTTCTGTTCACTGCTATGTTCCAACACCTAGAAGTATCTGGCATATAGTAGATGCTCAAGAATGAATGAATGAATGAATGAATGAATGAGAAAAGGAAGAAACTAGCCAGGAGCCCCAGAGGGTTGAGAGATGGGAGGGCTGGGAGCCACAGGAGTAGAAGTGACCAGGGAGAAGGGGCTGGGGCCAGGGGTGCAGGGCCAGCAGCTTAGTATCCATCTGGGCGTCAACGCCCAGGTGTCCTTTGTCCCTCTGCTAATAAGCAAGAGCAGTAAAATAGCCATCACTTCCGGGAGAACAGGAGCATTGTGAGACTGTAGAGGCGAGCGTGGCAACCCTCCAGGAAGAAGGGTTGACCAGCTGGACCCAGTGTCTCTGGATGGTTTATTTTACACGGGATGAGTCTGAGCATCTCAAGTGTACACACCAAGCCAAAGAAACAAATGAGATAGCACTTCACTTCCTGATAACGCTTTATAATAATGCACAACAATTACATATAGCCAGCGCCTTCAAAATTTAAACCCTTTAAACATTTAATTCTTTAGCATTAATACATACAAATGCTATTATTGGAGGTGGGGGGTTGGGCTATAGCCTCCATAGTGATCAGAGTTTCTACAGCATCACTTACAAATTATATTACATCTGTTTTATTTACTGACCTCGGCAGCCAGAGGAGGGAAGCGTATACAAGGTGGAGTAAACACATTCATACTGGGAGGAGGAGTGCTGGCAGGAGACACAGCTTTTGAACATGAAAAATGTATAAAGTATTTAGCAAAAGTTACAGAAAACAGACCAAACAAGCAAGTTTACTTGGTTAGAAAATTCCACTTTAATAGGGTTTGCTGATGTGCTTGTATCTGTGAAGGGGCTGCCCCAACCATCTCCTGCAGGGAGGGGAAGAGATGCAGACGGGCCTGTCCCCAAGAATGGCTGGTGTCCCTCTGGATGAAGCTGTCCCCCGTGTGTCCTTGATTTGCACGGCTGACCCGGTCTACTGCAGATGATGCCAGAAGGGGAGGGTCTCCATGTGACAGATGAGGACACAGAGGTCCAGGAAGGGGTGTGACTTCACTTCAGGTTATGTGTAACAAAGGAGACAGGAGAGTGGGACCAGGACATGATCTTCGCGCACCCAGTCCCATGTGCTTCCCAAGGTGCCATGTGCTTTCCCTCTGCGTCCATGTCTTACTGTCCCCATGAGAGCACTCGTGCCAGGACCCTTTACATTCCACCACTGCAATCTCATTACAAAATGTCACAGTCCCTGATCACCACGCAGGGGTCAGAGTCCAAAGACCAGCACAGCCCCCTCTCCCAGAGACACCTGATAAAGCGACTCTCCCGGCATCTAGAGGGACAGAGGCAGCACAGCATGGATTTTTCTCCCTGATTTCTCTTATTCTCACCGAAATCCACTGCAACAGGGACTGGGCCCTTCGCCTTCAGGAATGTGACAGCAATAGTGCTCCTCTGAGATGTGGAGAGTCCTGCCTGGCAAAACTCATACCAGAAGGGTCCCCTCAGCATCGGATCCTCGGCACCCCACCTTGAGACCCTGCAGACTCTGGTCCCTCGGCCCTGATCTTCAACAGGCCTGGATCCAAGAGTGTCTTCAAGCTCACGTGGAGAGGGTCCTAGTCGACTTCCTGGGCTCACCTTGTACCGGGCAGGGCATGATCAAGACATGGCTTGGTAGAGTGGTTACCTGGGGGTCAAGCCCACAGCCCAGGTCGGTCTGGCATTATCTGGGTTTAGCCGTATCTCTGCCACGAGCCCATGGTGCACAGGCACAGCTGACGGCCAGCTGAGCATCTTTCCAGCAATGACAAGAACCTGATGGAGGAGGTGCCATCTTCATGCCTGTCTGAGGGGTGCATGTCCTGGCTTCTTGGGGCTTGGGAGTAGACTTTAGGACATACTATCCAAGACATATGGGCGAGAGCCAAAAGGCAATGGCTTACACTTTCTTTGGGGGTCCAAGGAGGAACTACCTCATTCTTAACAGTGTACAAAACTCTTTAATTTACCTCCAACTGAATCTAAACAAAGATGTGCCAGGACATCCCTCTCCCAAAGATTTTAGGGAACTCTGTGCACACTGTGCAGGGCAGAGGGAAGTGCAGATGGGACTCAGATTTGGCATCACGTACATGGCGCGCAAAATCGAAAACAAGAAGGGGGGGAGACAGAACACAGTAGCTGGAGGAGGCTTGACAGACCTTCTAGAACAAATGCTCTTGGTTTGCAGATGAACCAACAACGATCCAAGGAAGGGTCATGACGAGACCAAGGGCCAGCCCCCTCTTTATCCACGGTACTGCCACTCGCCTCACTGACCCTAACACAATCAGCATCAAGAACTGTGCTAGCTGGAGTGAGGACCCCAGGAGAGAGGGGGTTTGCTCATCAAGATGCAGCAGAGGTGGGAGGAAACGGAGTCCCCATGCCCCTCCCCATTCCCTAGCAGCTTTCTGTACTGTCAAGAACCTAAAAGGAACCAAAAGTGCGAGCTGGAGCCTAAGAACCACTTGTGGGCACGGCTGGCATCTGGAGAAGCCCTGGGAGCCGTAGGAAGCAGCAAGCTGCAAGTGGTTGTAGCAAACAAGCTGAAGACCCTGGGCCAGAAACTTCCAAAGCAAACAATTCATTTCAAACACAAGGAGGCAGTATGGTACGCCCACTCAATGGAATACTGCTTGGCAATGAAAAGGAATAAACTGAGTCGCTGGGTGGTGCAAATGGTTAATGCATTTTGCTGCTAATCAAATGGTTGACAATTTGAGTCCACCCAGAGGCACTTCAGAAGAAAGGCCTGGTGGTCTACTTCACCAAAATTAGCCACTGACAACTCCATGGAGCACAGTTCTATTCTGACACACATTTGGGTCACTATGAGTTGAGTCCACTCGATGGTAACTTTTTTTTTTTTTTTAACCAAGTCATACAACAACAGGGATGACGGAAAAACATTAAGCTGAATGAAAGAAGCCAGACTCAAAGACTCCATCAGTGGGATTCCACTGATATGACATTCTAGAAAAAGCAAAACTATATAGGATCAGAAAATTGATCACTGGTAGCCAGGGGTGTGGGGGTGGGAGCAAGGGATTGGCTACAATGGGGCAAGAAGGAATTTTTTGGAGGGATGGAAATATGATGATTTTGGTGGTGGTTACAACACTGTAAAAGTTTGTCACAATTCACAAGTGTATCACAGGCAGAGATTAATAAAATACTAGGAATGGGCCCCTGCTCCCACCTCCCTCCCACAGTCTACGGAGGGGCCTCCAATGGTAAATAGCCTCTGAGGAGGGCTGAGAATGGAATGTTTTTTAAAAGTCCCAGCGCTGCTAAACAAGATGTACCCCAGGAGCCCTGCTGAAAATTATAATGCCATCAGCACAGACCAGATCCTCAGACCTGGGGAATCACATAATCCCACCTCTCCTTCCTTCACCTGTGAATGGGATGCAGAACCACCGTTCTCTACCAGAAAATGTAACTCACTTCAGCAAGTTGTTCCTCTTCCATTATGCCAACTGGTATACAACAGGGAGGAATAAGCACAAGTTATCAGCAAAGACTTCTGGACTGTGTGTGTACAATGGGCATTTGTGTGTATGACGGTCACCGCACCATTTCTCTCCGAATGACACATCTCTTCCCCTTTATGCCCAGACACAGCAAGATGGAAACAATGCATTTCTCAAGTCAATTTACCTCTTGGAGTTTTTCTTTCATGTATACGGCTGGGCTATGTTCACATGCACATAAACACACCCACATCCTATATATAGATGCTCCATCAGACAAGACAGCAACCAAAAAAGAAAAAGGAAAAAAAAAAATTCACAAGCGTATACTTAAAAAAAAAAAAAAAAAAAAAGTCCCCGGGTGGCGCAAATGGTCTGCACTCAACTACTAACCTAAAATTGGTGGTCTGAACCCACCCAGCGGTGCTGCAGAAGAAAGGCCTGGTGATCTGCTTCAGTAGAGAGTACCAAGAAAACTCTACAGAGCAGTTCGACTCTGTAACACATGGGGTTGTCATGAGTTGGAATTGACTTGCCACCAATGGGTCTGGCTTTGGTATACTAAAAAAAGGTGGGTTTTACTGTATGTAAATTATACCTCAACAAACCTGGGGTTCAGGGAGGCAGTGGGCCTTGTGCAGTTGGGGAGTGCTATGGGACTAAGATGATGTCCCGGAGAAGGAAGCTGCTGCTGCTGCTCTGTACCCCACTTCACACTTGTCCAGGGCTTTCTTTACCTACATAACAAAGAACAGGTCTTGCGATTCCTGTTTAAACTCTCCTTGTCAAGGGTACTCACAGCTGGAAGTAAAATCACCTCCACAAGCCAAGGTCGTTGGGTCCTTTGAATTTTATGGCTTGTATTTCCAAGAAGGGACCTTGGCTCGGCCAAAACTTTCATGCACCCATCCACTAACCTAGTAATTGACTGGTTTTCAAAGGGAACAGAAACAAACCGCTAGTTGGTCACACGTACATTGTTGCTGTCTGCTTCGGCCATTATCAGCCCCTCCACCGCCCGAGTGGAGGAGCGCTCCTCCGGCTGCAGAAACCCTCCCAGGTCAGCAGGGCGTGAAGGGAGGAAGGTGGCCCGAGGTGATCCCATTTGTGGGACTCAGGGCAGCCACTCCATCCGTCCTCCCAGCAGCTCTCGGCCCTCGAGTTTCAATACTGATCAAAAGCACTTGAAAAGTCGGAAGGTAACAAGTGGCTTTTCCTGGAAGTTGTCATAGCAACTCACTTTGAACACCAGTAGTCTTGGAGGTCTTTTTTCTTTAAAATCAGGTCTTCACAGACAAAACTAACTGCAACAGTGTCTCCCCGGTAGGAAGCAGGTGGAAGAGGCTGACCTGTTCTCAGAAACAGGAATAATGAAATGTTCTCATGGGTAACCCGGACTCACCCATTCTGTGAATAAACTCAGCAAAATCTACTTACAACCTAAGTACAGGAAAAACGAAACAACAAAAACCAAGATACTGTGTTGGCCACTCCCAAGAGTACTTTCAGAGTTTCTAGACTTCCTGCTACTTAGATTTCACCCAAAGGCCCTGCTAATAGGGATGGGGGTGGGGGGGCTGGACCCTGGACTCCAGACTGCTCTTAATTCACTGTCATTTCCCGGCACTCACTTGGACTTCACTCTGCCCCTCTGTAAAGAGTGGCGAGTTATTTTTATAAAAAAATAAGAAATTCTGGAATTTTAGTTGCATATGGGCTGTGAGGGTCTGGTGACCAGTGATTAAACTCTCATTGCTGCCTTCGATCCACAGGGTAAAAGCCTCGTGGCAGTGGTTTATATAAGAAAGTACCCAGTTACATGTGGAATGAGTGCAATGTTCTTATTTTACAAAAAGATCTAAGCAACCCCCTCTCTACCCAGAGAATGAAGAGGGCACGGAGTGTCTGTCTCATACGCAGTTATATTTCCAGTACTTAGCACAATGCCTGGCACGTCCCAAGTATTTGCTGAATAAATGAATGAGTCAGTGAATGAACAAACGGATGCACAGATTAATCAGCACGATGGACAGTATCTCTGAAAACCTGGATTCTGCAGAGGGTACCTGTATGTGAACACCAAGGTTACTGACCCACCCGTCCCCTGGGAAAAAAACAAGTCGACATGAAGCAAGAGAACATGGGCTTCCCTGAGGACAGGGCCACATCTTGTCCCCAGATCTCAGCACACTGCTTGGCACTAACCAAATGTCTGATGACTAGATAAAAGCGGGAAGGAAAAAAGAAAAGGCCTATATGAAGATGCTAAAGGTGATGGACTGTGGGAGTAAGGGGGAAGAAAATATAGAAGCTGGGCTAGAGGCCAAATGTGGCTACTGTGGGAGAGGCAAGAGAGCACCCACTGTCCCAGGCATAAACAGAAGACTCTGGAATCCTCAGATGGGAATGAGAAGACAAAGGCAAAATATCTGGATTAATACCAGAGTTGTTGGCTTTCAATATGTGAAAATCACCCACAAATTAATTTACTACTAGCACCCATTTTTAATGAGGAAGCCAAGAAATAATTTTCCAAAATTGGCAGCTGGTGTCCTGGCTCAACCCTGGATCTGGAAGGACTGGTTCTCCATGCCATGGACAGATCAATCAGGTGGCCTCCACGTTGGCAAAGGCCTTCACACTGGTCTTTTTGGTCGGGATGCTTCAATAAGAAGAGAAAAGAGAAGAATTTTGGTTGACTTTATTTTATTAGGCATCTTTCTAATAGAAACTATGAGAGAGCACTTCTATCTCAATGTAAGAGGTGACAAAAGATTCAAGATTAATAATCAAATCAGTGACTAGTATGTACTGAGAGAAACACCACTGAGTTGTGCTCTTGGTGTCTGCCCTCATGGTTAGATGTGTGGGCTCTGTCAATCCAAAGTAATAAGGGAAAAGGTTAATTAAGTGGATGCTCAGGGCTTTGGCTCCAGTCTTGAGGCTGCCCTTCACTCCCTGGGGGACCTCCATCAGATTGCCTTACTTCTCTAGGCCCCTCAAGACTAACATGGTGGAGAATCCGTCTGATGGGATAGAGACAGGGAGGAAACGGTGAGCAAGGATCCAAAGGCAGCGCTGAAAGCTTTCAGTGTCACACTGGGACCAGGCTGGAAGATGGAAGATGGCAGATGGGGAAGGGCAGTGCCAGCACCACATGACATGTGTGAAGCTCTGGAACGTGCAGAAGAAATAAAGAGGCCAAGAGGGCAAATAGCGCCTGCAAGGTTACAACCTGACGTGCCCATAAGAGTCTATGTCGTGTGGCACCCACCCACTCTGTGAAATGTTACCCCCCTCAAACCTCCCCCAATCCCCAGGTAAGAGAAAGCCTTACAAGAGACAGTGGTCCCAGCCCGAGCCATCTGGAGGATGAGGAGGCTTGTCTTGAGCCATCTCCCTCTTGACCCATCTCCCTCACAGAACGAATACAGCTCCATACAGAGCCCATGGTGAGTGGCCATGAGCAGCACAGTGGTGCTGAAGGCACCATGCACACAGACCCTAGCTGTCCCTCTGCCTTACTGGTCTCTGAGATGAGCTGCTTCATTTCCATCTCCAAAGCCTTTAATGCTCACGTCGCCAGACAAGATCAGGATAAATGAGAACTTCGGAAAGCTTCCTCTAGTGAGACTGGGTGGCGGGCGGGGGGCCGGGAATCAGCTGAGGGATGGGTAGAATGGGATTTCTGGAGACTTTACAAAGGATGCCTGATCTAATGGGAAAACAATTACATGGGGCTGGTTTGATGAATGAGGTAGGTCCATCTTGAACTCTCCAGGGTCAGTCTGTGAGGGCAGAAGCCAGACCTTCTTCCCAAGACCCCTGATGGTGAAAAGTGGCAGAGAAAAGCCAGAATATGGGTTGCTCCCAGATGGAAAAGAATTATCAAAGAGGATGGGCTGAAAACAGTCCTGGTGTTGGCTGTTCAGCTGAGTGGCACCTTCTAGCCACGATCTGATCCTGACACTGGGCTTGGAGACAGAAGCCTCCATCCCTGATGCTCCAAAGCTCTAGAGATAATGGAAGATGGGGCTTCCAGGGGCACAAGCATGTGATACAGCTGGCTCCGGCGGCTCCTCAGGATGGGGAGGCCACACCTACTGAGCTCAGCAGGGACCACAAAGTTCCAGCCTCGGTTTGTTCTCAGAGCAAGCACAGCACGGGAGTTGGGGGGCTTCAGCCTCGGAGGCAAGGGCGGGGCTGTGGGTCTGTCTTCTTGGCCTGGGAATACCAGGGAGCTCGCAGCTGAACCATCCAGTTCTCCCTTCTGGAATACCAGCTGTAGCCCACACTCTCCCCTCCTCAGCAGGGACCAGGACAGTGGGTGGAAGGCAGTCCCGTCAGCAGCAGGCCCTGTGGGGGAGCTGCCATCTGCTCTCTGGACTCCCAGCTCTCCTCAGAGGCCCCCGGGGCCGCACATGCCCGTCTAGATCTCCATGTCCACGGGGCGGATGTTGCCCGTTTTGTGCTCTCGGACCCACAGCTCCCTGTCTTTGGCTGGGTCCACTTTTCGAAGCAGTTGGTCCACAGGCTCGACTGTCTGCAAGGGACACAGAAGGGAGGAGACTGTCAGAGGTGGAAGCCGGATGGGGGACGTCTCCTCTGAGCTGACCTGTTCTTGTCTTTGTGCCTATCACAGCAGCCTCTCTAGAAGGTTCGGGGACCCAGGGAGTGGCCCGTTTGTGGGACAGAACATACAGAGGGAAAGAGTGGGGGGACGGAACCGCCCATCTGGACTCTGCCCCTCACGTGTTGTGTGCCATCTGAGGAGGGTTACCCTCTGGTCCTCAGGGCCTCATCTATGACGTGAATGGGCAGGGTGGCTCATGGTCTGTGATCTCTCCCTCTATTCATGTCCATATTTGCCACCAGAGAAGAGGGCAAACGGCGCTTTCGTTTTAGATACTTTGAGTATTTCTAGGTTTCTTTTGGGGAGGAGGGGTAAGAAACTCGTCAGGAGCGGTAACAACGCCTTCCGTGATTTTAACCATCAGAAGCCCTCTTCCCTGAGGGTAGCAGCTCATGTGTGCGTCTATTCCATGCCTTGGAATGGATTCACGTGGACTTCCGGGGCAATCTGGACAAGGCCATCCCAAGAGGTCGCCCAGGCCCCAGCATCCTGCCCACTGCCCACCTTCAAGGCAGGTCCTCTTGTGGCCGGCATTGAACCTGCTGCAACGTGGCACCAGGAGGCTCTCCCCAGGGGCCCTGCTGGCCTCAGCCCAAAGGCGGAGAACTCACGCTTTGGTTGAACATATCCGTCTCATGCCGGAGCTGTGTGTATTGACACAGATGCTGCCGGATCATCTCCACCCTCTCCACCTCCAGCCGCTCCAGCTCCTGCCGAGAAGACAAGACCAGAGACCTCTGAGCACATCCCCTCAACTTGGGGACCTTCCCACCAAGCAGGCCCCAGACCACCACAAACACAAGACAAGCCACTGGCTGCCTAGGTCCTGCCAGGCTGTGCCAATGTCTGACATGCCTGATGCCACCTAACCCTTTGGATCAGATGAAGAACCTGAGCTCAGAAAGGGTGACTCGCCCAGTATCTAGGGGTGAAGATGACAATGATAAGGACAGAAGCAGCTGTTATTTCCTGAAAGCCTGTTCTTCCAGAATAAGAGCTTTACATGTGTTACTTAATTGTCCTCCTAATAATTTTAAGAGCTAGGTTCTGTAATTACCCTTATTTTCCAAGCAAGGGACCAGCACCTAGACTGGTAATGCAACTTGCCCAAAGCAACACAGAATTATGGAAGGATCTGGGATTTGAACCTGGATCATGACCTCAGTCATGATTCTGCACCACTGCAGCCCCAGCCCTAGCACCCTGACAGGGTGGAGGAATGGGACATGCAGCAGCATCCATGCATCAGACTCTGGGCTTTGTTCTTGGCCTCTGCTAAGCAGCCTCCTTTCCTCCGCCCCTACCCCAGGGTTCCCCTAGTACTGGGGGACAAGGCCAGGCCAGGCCCGAGAAGACAGCGCTGGAAGTAGAGTAGCCATTGTCAAAGCGAAGAGGGGAAAGGGCTTGTCCTTTGGTTTCTAGATGGTTGTGTGTTTGGCATTTAGGAGATCAGGCTGTTGTTCTGCACATAACTAGGTCACTGCCCAGGGTAAAGCAGAGGGCTTAATTAGAAGATTAACCAGGAGGAAAACTAGGTCACTGTCCCTGGTGGATGCCTCTAATCTGCTCTGAAGGGCCAATGCCTGGTGAAAGCAGTCAGGCTGTGCTCTGATGACTGGCGGGGTGGCTTCAGTGCACTGGGATAGGGGACAAGCACCAGGCATGATGCCTGCTTTCCCACGTGGCCCAATAGCCCAAGTACCCACCACAGGTCCTGCCACATGTAGACAGGGCTCACCGACAAGGAGATGCTGCCTCTTAATAAGAGACACTCAGGAGAGTCTGGTCCTGTCCCCCACACCCGTTGGTCAGAAGGTATCCCCTCCCAATTCCCCCTAAACTGCTCCCCTCACCTCACCCTTACAAGGGTCTCCTACCAAGGACCTGCCACTCCTCTGGGGTAATCACTCTTCCTGCAACTTGGCTATCTGTCCTAAAGGAGCCACTGTCTAGCCACCTCTGGGTTGGGGATATCCTCAGTTGACCGTGGCCCTTTGGGGGACATCTCAAGGGGGATATAGCATGACCAAAGCCTTGCCTAAGTTTACACAGCCAGGAAGTGGTACAGCAGGGATCTGAATCCACATAGACTGGCCTGGAGCTTGAGGTCTTGACTCCAATACTGGAGTAGATCTAATGGCTACAGTCACCTCCACTCCATCACCGCCATGCCCCCATCATCCATCCAGGCTTCCTGTGCCCTAGTCATCACACTGACACACCTCTGATCACTTACCAGTGTGGTGGTCACCATCTCTTCAAACCACTTGGACTGGGCCTGGTTGTAGAGGTCCACACAGCGCATCAAGTCATCTCCTGAAAATGGCCAACAGCCTCCATCACATTCCATCTGGGCCCTGGCTATGGCTGCCTTCTCCCACCTGCCCCATATGACCATGCCCTCTGCTGTCCCTTGGACCATGGAGACCACTGGAACATGGGAGTGTAGGGGGAGGAACAGGGGGAGAGCAAAGCAAAGGCAGGGGGCAACGCAGCATCATGAGAGACCAGCTTCAGAGTGTCCATCTGAACTTGGCCCCAGACTAAGAACTCAGGGCGGGGGTTTCTTATTACGTGTGTGGGTGGTGGGCAGGGGGGAGGCTACTTCTAGGACTGCCAACCCTATCACAAGCCCAAGAAATGCCTTCCTCTCTATCGACGGCAGCTTTCTTTCACATTGGAGAATCCTGATTGGTTAAAACAAGCATTAAAAGTAACCTGGTCCTAATTAAAGAAGAGACACTCCACACTCACAAAAGGATATAAAAATACCCCTAGCCGAAAGGTTGGCAGTTTGAACCCACTCAGAGGCACCTTGAAGACAGGCCTGGTGATCTGCTTCCAAAAGGTCACAGCCTTGAAAACCCTATGGAGCAGTTTGACTCTGCACAGGTGAGGTCACCATGAGTCAGAAAAAGTCAGGGAAAGGAGGAATCAATGACTGGGGACACTGAGCTGTTAAGGGTGACAGAAAACTTTGGGAAGAGATAAAGGTGATGGTTGAACATGATGAACTTAAGTTGAAGTTACTGAACTGTACATGTGAAGAATGTTGAAACAGCAAATGTTTTGTTACATGTATATTTTCCACACACACACACACACAATACCGTCCTACAGAGGGATCGTGAAGATTAAAAGATTAAAAAAGTGCTCTAAGGCACTTAGCCTTAAACTAAAACTGAAGCCTAACACCAATTTAGATATGCCTCTCGCCTTCCTGGGCTCCCCGTCAGCATCCCCAGTAAGTATGTTATGCCGTTTACTTCTGCATCTAGTAATGGATCACTGTGCCTCACAAGACCTGTATTTTAAATATGTTTATACTATGTTACTTTGTTATTGCCTTATTTATATCCTATTTTATTTCAAAATGTCCTTAAGATAGATGATTCATGAAATAACGGAACTAATTGTAATAGGTTGACCAGAAGTAGAGGTGAAAGGGACTTTAAAAAACAAAACAAAACAAACCCATTGCCATCGAGTCAATTCTACTCATGACAACCCCATGTGTTACAGAGTAGAACTGCTCCACAAGGTTTTCTTGGCTGTAATCTTGGTGCCACGGTGTGGGTTCAAACTGCCAACCTTTAGGTTAGCAGACAAGTGGAAACCATCTCCGTCACACAGGGATCCTACCCATTGCTGTTGAGTAGACTCCGACTCATAGCAATCCTATAGGACAGGGCAGAACTGCCTCTTAGGGTTTCCAAGGCTGCAATCTTTATGGAAGCAGATTGCCACATCTTTCTCTGGAGGAGCAGCTGGTGGGTTCGAACCACAAACCTTTCAGTTAGCAGCTGAGTGCTTAACCACTGTGCCACCAGGGCTCCTTTGAATGACTGTTATACCCTGGGAAATTCTCCCATCAGTGCACACGGAGGCCAGCATCCACCCAGGCTCTGCTCCAAACACTGGCCATCTAATCCAGACCCTAATCCTACAGTGTATGTTTTCATCTCAGAAGGCACTGTTCTTCATGGAGTGAAACTTTGTTTCTTTTGAAAACATCAGATGTTTTTAACTGGATCTAACTGGCCTTTGGAGTCCCTGGGTGGTACCAATGGTTAAAGTGCTTGGCTGCTAAATGAAAGACTGGGTTCGAGCCCACCCAGTGGCGTCTCGGAAGAAAGACCTGACAACCTACTTCTGAAAAATCAGCCATTGGAAACCCTATGGAGCTAGTTCTACTCTGACACACATTGGGGTTGCCATGAGTTGGAGTCTTGATGGTTAACTGGCTTTCTCCCTTCCTTGCGCACTAGCCAATTTTTACCACTAGGTGGAAGCAGAAACCAGTAACAGAGAATCCGGCTACTTCATTGAACAAAATGTCCACCTCTGTTCATCTTTGGTGAACCCTCAGTCTTAGGCACTGGGGAGGCAGGGCAACCGGGATGGGGGGAGTGGTTAGGGCCTCCGGGGGTTGCACTCTCCTGTGGGCCCCCTGCAGGGACGAGGTCCCTGGCTTCTGGGCGCCGAGAGGAGTTCGTCCACCTGGTCAGAGATCCAGGGCTTGGACAAGAAAGTCATCCCCGGGGAGAGTTGAGGATCCCTGTGCCCATATGGCCTGGAAACAGCCTGGCCTGCCCTCTCCCACCCCTCTGCCCCACCAGCTCCAGTCTCTCCCTGGGCAGGGAGCAGGTGCTTATTGGGAGAAACTTCCCTTCTACAGCCTTCTGAAGCAGAGATACCCCAGTCCAGCCACCCAGTCTCCCAGCTCTCTCCATCCTGTGCTTCTACGATCAGGTATGGGGGCCACCGGTGCCAGCTCTCACCAGCCTGCGTGGACTTCCGCCGCGCCTTCTTGATGTCCTCCTCCGTCTTGTTGCTGAGCTTGATCTCCAGCTGCTGGGTTTTCATCTCCAGGTCTCTCTGCCGCTCGGTGAGGGCTTTCCGGGCCTGGAAAATGACACGGAGAAGCTATTCCCGAAGCTGAGCGCCACGGGCCTCACGGTCACCCGGCCTGGCCTCCTTCCTCTAGGTTAGAGTCCTTTCTATTCTCTGTTTCTGCGGATACACCACAGTGGCTTGGAGAGACTGGGCAACTCGCCTAGCATCGCCCAGCTAGCTGGTGACACCAGTTAGCAACAGCAGAGAGACTGCAGCCCGGGTCTTCTCATACCTGCCCAGTGTGCTTCCAGCCACGTTGCCATGTGGCCTGGTGCAAGCCTCTCAGACCGTATTTTCACTGGATCATGTACACGCACTTGGGACCCAGGCAGTCCTAAAATCAGTCTCTCAGGGTCAGGGAGCGGCCACAAAGGCCAGTCATGTCGCTTCCATCAGTGTGAACAGCCTGGCAGCACCAGTGCCCCAGCCCATACCAGGACAGACCTCAGCACCCCTGCTCCCCTCCTCTGGGCACTCGAGCTCACAACTCCCCCTCCTTCCCCCCACCAGGAGCTCTACAGCCTGTAGTGGGGGCAGCCAGTGGGATGTAGGGTGCCCACAGCAGTATGTGCCCCTTTCTCCCACACTCATCCCTGGGGCCCTGGAGTCAGCACTCTTCCCTCCAGCCTAGGCATCAGACCACTGAGCATTCCGCCCAACCTCCGACCAGAAAGGTGAGCCATGGGGGTCTGGCTAGGGAGGGATTCAGTCAGGAGGGAATCTGCCAGGTGGGGACCAGAGGGGCCACGTGTGGACCCGCAGCCCGTCCAGGGTTCGAAGTCCTACAAAAGCATGGCTTTAGATAATGAGGCACCACTTCACCCCACTAGGGTGGCTGTTATCAGAAAACAATGGAAAACAGCGGTGTTGGCAAGGATGTCGAGGAACTGGAATAGCTGCGCACTGCTGGTGGGAATGTAATATGGAGTTGCTAGGGTGTTGTTAGGTGCCGTCGAGTTGGTTCTGACTCATAGTGACCCTATAGGACAGAGTAGAACTGCCCCATAGGGTTTCCAACACGGAGTAGCCACTATGAAAAACAGTCTGGCAGTTCCTCAAAAAGTTAAACATAGAATTACCATAAGACCCAGCAATTCTACTCCTGGATATATACCCAAAGGACCTGAAGGCAAGAACTTGAACGGATAGCTGTATGCCAATATTCACTGCGGTATTATTCACAATAGCCAAAAGATGGAAACAACCTAGATGTCCATCAACAGATGAATGGATAAACAAAATATGGTAAATATATATAACAGAATATTACTCAGCCAACCGCTGGTGGTTTCGAACCGCTGACCTTTTGGTTAGCAGTCGACTGCTTTAACCACTGTATCATCAGGGTTCCTTAAAGAGAAATGAAGTTCTGATATATCCCACAACATGGATAAACCTTGAAAATATTATTGTAAGTAAAATAAGTCAGACACAAAAGGACAAATGTTATATGCTCCCACTGTGATGAAATATCTAAAATAGACAAACGCATATAGACAGAAAGTAGACTAGAGGTCACCAAGGGCTGAGGGAGGGGAGTAGGGAGTGACTGCTTAATGAGCATGGGGTTCCTTTTGGGGTGATGAAAACATTCTGGAATGAAGATAGTGGTGACGGTTACACAACACGGTAAATGTACTTAATGCCACTGAATTGTACACTTGTAAAGAGTTAAAATGGCAAATTTTATGTTAATATAGTTCTTATCACCCACACATAAAAAACATGGGTTTTCCTAGTCTCACGTGCCCAAATGGGCCTCCCCTGGCTTTCACTGTCCCCCTGGGAATTTCTCTGAGCCCCCTGGGGAAGCAGCTCCCGCCTGTCCTTGGCAGGTGGGTGTTCTCAGGCATGGGTTCCAGGCTCCTACTTCCCTTCTGGTTCCCCCCCCTTGGGGGCACTTGCCGGCTTCCCCGGCCCCCCTTTTTCTTGCGGGGCCCCCCCTTTTTGCCCCGCTACGTCCCGGCCCCTCACCTTCTCCACAGCGGCGTAGCGGCTGGCCAGCTGCTTGCGAAGGTCAGCAATGTGGTGGTCACACTTCTTCATATCCTTCTTGAAGTTCTCGCGGAAGTTCATGAGGGGCTTCTCTACCTCGCTGTGAAGCTGCCGAGGAGACAGTGGGGAGGGCACTTAGGACCCCAGAGCCTCAGCGGCACATGAGTACCGGGAGGGAGATGGTGGGGACACAGTTTGGGCTGGTGGCCCTGGCATGTCCTAAGAGGAGTTTAGGCCAAGTGGCTGTTATCAGGACTCAGTTTAGGAAAGTCACCTTAGCTCGCTAGATGTCAAGTTTCCACGTCTACAGAATGGACGGGCTGGACTCAGTGAAACCGTCCCAGAGTCCTCTCATCAGCTAAGTCCTTCCTTCTTGTTGTATGGCTTTACTCAGTGTCTGCCTCCCTTTCCCTCCAAACAAGGGGCTCTCTGAGGGCATAAACATGCCACTCATCTCTGCATCCCCAAGCACTTAGCACGGTGAATAAGTGTTGAGTGGATGTCATTAAATCAATAATCTTAGTCAGTTCTATTTATTGCACATCTACTATGCACCTATCATGGATTGAATTATGTCCCCCCAAAAATGTGTGGGTCATGATTCCCAGTATTGTATAATTGTGTACCATTTTATAATCTGACGTGATTTCCTTATGTTTTGTAAACTGTATCACTATGATGAGGTTATACTGATGTCTACAAGACTGGATAGTGTCTTAAGCCAATCTCTCTTGAGATCTAAAAGACAGAAGTGAACAGAGACACATGGGGACCTCACACTACCAAGAAAGCAGTGCCGGGAGCAGAGCGCGTCCTTTGGACCTGAGGTTCCTGTGCTGAGATGCTCCCAGACCAAGGGAAGACTGATGCATCAAAAGAACCTTCCTTCAGAGCTGACGGACAGAGAAAGTCTTCTTCTGGAGCTGACGCTCTGAATTTGGACTTGCAGCCTACTGGACTA